TAAAGACCAGACCTGGATAGCAGCCTTCCTTAAATGATCCCAAAGCTAGATGATGAGGCAAAGTTTCAATGCGTGCCTGAAAAAACAGCTGTAGGAAGAGGAGTACAGATTCTTTAGGAACTGCAGAAACACGGAGTAGTGGGAATTTGTAACATAGTTCATTCCAAACCAAAAATAAGCAGGAAGATGTCAGTACTTTACAAAAGACTATAGGAAAGTTTTAAGCAATACAGCAGGTGAAGAAACATTAGATGAGTAAAAGCACATGCTCTCACTTCCACTAGGAATGGAATCACAGAAACTCTGTATGTCTAGTAAGAGAGCGGACTGAAGTTTTCAAAATTCAATTGAGAAATCATGATAAGTCAGTCAAGCACACAGTCCTACTCAAGAACACCCACGTGCAAAAAAACCCAAAACATTTATATATAGCTTGGCATAAATGCTAGCAGCACAAGATGTAAACCCCAAATGTCTGTTTTTAATCCAGGACAGTGACATAACAAGCACACCAGAAATATGATGGAAGCAAGACAAATAAGCAAGATATTGATACAAAATATATAAGGAAGTAATCAAACTAAATATCAATATATTAACTCATCAAATCAAATATGGATTGAATTTCCAGGCCTAATAACGTAAACTCTGTTGTTAGACAATATTATTACAATTAAGATGATGGCAGTAGCTATGACATCCAAGAAGTATAAGGGCAGCAATGTAGCTGTAATGAAAGATGGCAATTATCAGCAGGTTGGATAATTGTCACACTGAAGAGGCCAAGATCACTTTTTTAATACATTTTTTTCATGCAGCCAGGAACACCCAACTCTGACTGCAGTCCCTGGGAGTGTGCAAGACCTGAGTCAAAATGCTGTTTTCAAAAACTGGCTTTGTGATGGTAACTTTTATTTCTGCAAGAACATTGACTAAGTTTATTAATAAAGACAACAGTCCACTACTGCAGACTTCCAGCAACATAAAATAAGGAAATATGCTAAAATGAAACCAACAAGACAAGTCAAAAAAATCAAGCTGCAATGCTTGAAGACAACACTAAGACTGTGTGCACTGAACTTCAGTATGATGACTTCAAACACACACGCAAATTAAACTTTTTTTGTGGGGAGGGGGAAGCTGGCTTGGATTAAAAGCAACTGGAATTTAAAAGCCAACGTTTGTAAAACAAGCAGTCTAGCTTTAGCAGTCAAACGGAATCTGTCACTGAATGTAAAATTTACAGACAGATCAGGGTGTAGAGGAACAATTTGCCAAAGTGCATACAAACTGAACACCACCTTCGGAACAGGTACCGTGCCTGAGGAAGCCAAACAGATGATCAAAATAAAAAACAAAGTTCTCAGGGAAGGCAAGGCCACAGAGAAAAAAAAAATCCGCAAACTCTGAAAAAAACCCTAAATCAGTTTTTGGTACCAGGCAGGGACTTGAGCAGAACCTCTACAAGCAACTCACTGAAGGTTTTACCCCTCAGAGCAAAACATCAGAAGAGGTTACAGAGCAAAGAGTGACAAGTGGCCGGGGCTGGGGGCTATCACTCCCAAATTCTAAAGGAAATCAAGTAACTGCAGCGTGAAACTTCTGGGTTAAAATCGCCTCATTATCAAATGACTGGAAGCTGACAAAAGCGACAGCGAGCTTTTGGGAATTTTGTGGGTGGAGGGGTCACCTGTTTTTTAAGAAGAGATTCCAGAGGGATCCAGGGAACTACAGGCTAATTATATTTTTCTATACATAGCAAACTGCCAGAAATTGTTCTAAAGCCACGAAAACAACTGCATAAACATACTGAGGAAAGTCAGTGTTGCTTTTGCAAAGGAAAGTCATGTTTGATAAACATTTTAGAGTTCTTCTAAAGACTAAAAAGCATGCTTGAAATTCTAAAAAGCATCTGACACATTCGCTTGCCAAAAGCCGTTAAAGATGCTGTGCTGCCAAGAGAAGGAGTTGTCATATCAGTAAATTGTTTAAAGAGAGAAGAGAAAGGTTATGGATCAGCAGTCGTTCTTTCCTCAGGACATGGATCGCCAACAGAACACCACAGGCACCTATGCGGGGGCTAGCAAAGTACAACCTATTTGTAAGGGTTCTGAGACAGCAATTTCTGAAGCCCACAGTATATTCCAGTGATACTAAGTTACTCAAACTAATAAAGGCGTAAAGGAATTTTAAAATTCCAGAACCACTTCACTGAGGAAATAGGTGCTAAGACTAAATTCACTGTAGGTAAATGAGGACAATTCACACTGGGGAAAATACAAAAAAAATCAGTCCTAAATACCTATATAAGGAAATGGACTCCAAGCTGACCATTAATTATTCAGGACTGAGTTATTGCTCTTATATAGCTTCTGAAAACTTAAGTGTAAAGTTAGGAAAAGGCAAAATAATTAGACATTATTTTTGGAAGCAATGTAAAACAAAACACAAAACAGCCTTTTTTTTTTTTTTTTAGATAAATCCACAGTGAATACTGTGAAAGGAGTTCCACCCGCTCCTCCCTCCTTGAGAAACTGGAAAAGCAAAGGACAACAAAAACGACGTAAGGTACAAAAGAGCTTTCCAGCAACAAGCAACTGAAAGAAGTAAGACTCTTCAGTTTGAAACAGAAACAACTGAGGCAGGCAGGACACGACAGAGGTCTGCAAATTCAGGAGCGACACAGAGAGAGCACAAGAGGGTTGTTATAATGTCTCACCAAATGTAAGAACCCGCAGGCCTCAACCAGAGCTATCAAATGGCAGATTCAAACACATCAATCACAAATTGCTGGAGGTACAAGAGTCTGCTAAGGAGACATCACCACACACTTGATCTGTTACCTACCCTACGCATTCACTACCTCCACTGTCTGAGACATCACAGCAGGCCAGACAGAACCCTAGTCTGACAAACAGGTATTACTTCATAGAGTAGACGTGCACAGTAAATGCTGAAATGGATTACCGGTTTTAACTAGTTTTCACTTCTAATTTACCAGTCTGAAGAAAAGGGAAAAAAAGGCCTTTTAAAAATATGACTTTAAGGCTACCAACACTTCAGTCTGGTCCTATAGCAACATAGTACGTATTGCAACATTTTTAAAAAATTACTTAGCAGCATGCTGAGATTCTTCTGAGGGTGTTATTCCAGGTTTTAATCACAAATATAAACTAAAAATGCCATTGCTAATAACTTACTTAACAGGTCCCTTACCCAACAAAACAAGGGATAATAATAATTAGGGTCAGAACTCACTAAGAGGAAATTATTTTTAGTCTCGTAAGTTTGGCTTCTGGTCAACATATGAGAAACAGGCTTTGCCTGTAAAATACTAAGGAGAGGTATGGGCAGCAGCCAAGTTACTGACATATTACTACTTGACTAGTAAAAATGGGAATACCAGCTGCCCTTCCTCACCTTCAGCGCCCTCGGAAAAAATTCATCTATTCTCTGGCCAATTCCTCCTATCAAAGAGAAACATAATTAGCAATTACAGTTTTGGTGCAAAAACACATATGACACATAACTTTTCACAGCAAAATAACAGCACCTCTCTACAAAGAGATAACAGTAAGATAAGGACTCCTGAAAGGACTACCTTTAGTGGTATTTTATATTCCAAAGTGAGTAACACAACCAACTGTAAAATCCCCTGAATATACAACCATTCCTTGTATTATTCCTCAATACATACCTGCGAGAAGCTTGAACATGCACCGTTTTCTGGCATAAAGACAAAATTTCTCAGCTACACAAATGAAGAAAATCTCAGACTTTAAAGACTCAAAGTTATCATCAGCGAGATCTCTTCTTTCTGTATTTCGGCTTGTGCCAAGATGGGAAGTAATTTCAAAAGCTGAATCAACATCTGGATCACGATGCAATGAACACTGGAGCTAAGAAGTGAAGGTCCTAAACCACATTCATAGTTTTCTTCAGAGATGATAAAAACATCAATTACCAAAAATTACTTGATCTCAATAGAAAAGCCTGAGGTAAAATTTTTGGTAATTTTTCAGCAAGAGAGGAACGCTCAGGATCATTTACAGCTGAATAATTACTCTACTTCAAAAGTTGCCTTGAATAAAAGAAGTGGCTATTTTATTGACTATACATACATATTAAAGAGCATCAACATAACATAGTTGAACTCAGCGTTCAAGAAGATACAGAGCAAAACACCTTGACTTCACACTCTGGAAGTGATACGTGTTTTCTAAGCTGAGTCAGTGAAAAATCTTTTACGCCGCAAGGCCTGCAACTGTACTGTTCACCAGTGTACGTGCAGCTCAAACTCAGAATATTATAGAATTAGCAACTCCAATGACCAATCAACAGTCCTTCAACGTATACACGCAAGTGCTACTGGATTAAATGAGTGCTGTACATACATTCAAGAATGGAACTGAGCAGGTTTTGTCTTTATAAAAACATACTGCATATAATTAAATCTCCTAAAGGCAATTCAGAAGATCTAGAAGCTCCTAGCTTTGTAGTGTTAGCTACAAACAAACAAAAACCCAAGGAAACTCCTTGCCACTTTGTAGGGACTAACTGATAAGATTAAAAAAATTACGCAGTTTGCAGTCTTCGCCATACATGAAAAACTTGATGCAATCATACCTGCCAACCAATAAACATGCCTCCACACTTTATTAACCTTTGTGTAACATGATAATTCGAATAAAATCTCCACTCTATCTCAAACTGGAAAACATAACTTTATAAAAATATAGTGCTTTAAAAATGTATCAGCATGTTATTTAAACCTATCATACCAAAACCAGATCTTTTTCAAACTGTTACATACACGGACCTCATGATACCAAATGGACCCTTTCAGGTAGCTAAACATACATGCTGGACTTTACCGCTGCTGAATTTCTCCTCTGACTAAATAATATCAAGTCAATTACACACATCAATCTCCCAACTAATTTCCACCCCTGTCCCTTTCATTACTATATATTTATATATTACCATCATGACATTAAAGTAGGTGCTTATTCAAGGTAGTATTTAAGTCAGAAGCTGCAAGCCTCCATCTACAACTAGAGTACTCCCTGTAACATAAGGGGACTCTAGGAGAAAGACAACAGCTTGTGCAACTTCACGAGGCTCTCCAAATCTTCCAAGGAGAATTGCTTTCTTCAGCTGATCTTCTTCCAAATGAGCAGTCATCTCTGTGTGAATAAAGCCTACGAGAGGAGAGATATTTGAAGAGTTACCTAATCTTCAACTAAATTTCTCTAGCAGATTTTCCCTGGAATCCTCCAAAGTGAAATCTACTACCAGGATTCAGCACCAGCTACCATTCTTCAAAGTCTCAGAAGTCAGTCCACATCATTTTATGGCCAAGACCAATTTTTCACCTAACCAATAAAATGTCTTCCGGTTTTGGAAGCACTGATGTAATAATCAAAATGCAGAGATCTATAGAAGTCCATTAAAAAAAAGGTAACTAAAATTGGGTCCCAAAACCATACTTATGGTTTATCACTTTTCTGAAAGACAAAACCCACTCATTTTACCAAAACATTCTCAATAAAAACACAAGTATGAAATCTCTGGCAAGAAACCCCTACAGCTTGCAAATCTTTCCATTATATTTCAGAACTTATTATAGCACTCATTTGGAGAATATTTCTTGACATTTTTGAAGGACATTTCTTTACAATTTTCAGTTATCTGAGATTCAGTTTTCCCACTGCTGCACTTCTCTTCACATAAGCTGCAGCTTCATAAAGAACTGATCTTACCGGCTTTCTAGGTGCCACCAAGAAGGGAAAGTCTCGGTTTTGCTTTCTACTGTACAACTCTGCCCCTTTATGATGGCTCTGGACCCCTCAGTGAGCTGCTCAACTCACTAAACAATAAAAACCATTTTTCCTGCCTAGTTCACAAGCTGAACCGGTTCATGTAGAGATCTGAAAGGCATCAGAGCTAGCACAAGGTGAGCAGCAGAGTACACAGCTATGAGTGGAAAAAGTCAGAAAAGACAGAAGGGATTCTTCCTTAAGGGTGGTGGTTTGCTTGGACTAGATCACCTTGTGAAATCACAGCCTTGTCCTCACAGAACTTTCTTTCTAGGCTCTCTCCTTTTACTACAGGGATAGACAGGGATGCTTTCATGCCAGCTTCTCGTGGTCTTTCATGTTTCTCTAATAACAAATAAGCATTCTCTAGCAGGAGACAGGGGTAGCTGTCTGTCTGTAATTAGTTCTAATCCTTCCATCTGCAAGGACAGCAGGTTTTGAAGGAGGAACAAAGAAAAAAAGACATTTATTATGTAATAATGGATAGAGGAACAGGTAGACACACTCTTCCAAATTTCTCAGTGTTCCCTTAAGAAGACTAAAGGTTTTGTAAAAGAACGTATTATACTTTAAACTGGAAAAAAGAGATTAAAAACATGTACTTACAGATGTTGAAGAAAATAATAGCAATTTGTCTTAAGTTACTTTCAGAGTACAGCAAATACCCAGCAGTTTTGATGATTATGTATTGCAACAGTCAAGGATGTAGAAACTTCCCAAGAACTAACCTGGAGCAACGACGTTGACTCGAATTTGCTTTTTTGCTACTTCTTTAGCAAGAGAGCGTGAAAAACCAACTAATCCTGCTTTGGTAGCACTGTATACGCTTTGACCAGAGTTGCCTTTAAGTCCTACAATACTTCCTAAAATAAAGAAACATCAAAGAGAAGAAAAGATTAAATGACTAATTTGAAACCTTGCACTAGCTTTATCATTTTAGTTTACATCTGGAATGGAAAATGAGATTAAAAGAAAAGGAATTAAAAGTATATTACTAAATGTATTTATAGGCTACTGCTGGGATAAGCAAATCCCTGAATTATCCGTGATTTTTGTGGAATCCATATATCTATGTTGACCAACAGGCACCAGGAGAGAAAAACGAAGAGCTTTCTAAAAAAATATCCTTGCACAGAAGGAAAAAAAAAAAAAGAAACCAAGTGTACCTATTTGATTCTTAGTTAATACCAAGCAGCTGGTAGATTTACATATTGAAAGAGCTGATAAAGAATGGTAAAATTCTTTTTTCAATAAAATATAAGCTTTGAGGTGTTTATTACTGAAACAAGCTGGTTTTGCATTTAGAAGTTACTGAAATTACACAAAAGCATAAGCATTCATAAAGAAATGCTAAATATAGAATGTCTAAATACAAAGAAAATAGTCAATTTACACCTGCTAAACCTTTCTAGAAAACTGTTACACAGAATTCCACTGGATTAGACAAGCAACATACCTATATTGACAATAGCACCTCCTTGTTGTTGAATCATACTTTTTACAGCAGCTTTGCATGTCAACATTGTTCCCAAAAGATTAGTGTGAATCTGGGCTATCATATCTTCAGTCTTGGTTCTCAGTAACAAACCATCCCTGACAAACAGACCAAAAAACCCAAAAGAACTCAATGAACAATCCCAATGATCACATTTACTCGTAATAAAACATGACTGATGAATGGAATATTAATGGGGATTTATATGGTTCTATATATTCTAACATTCAAAATGATGACATTGCAAGAATGACACATAGCAAGAAAAAAATTAGCTATGCTTCTGGCAACAAAGCCTCCTTTGCAGAGAGGTATCAAACATTAGTTTGAATTATTTCAGGGTGAAGAAGTGGAAGAAAGAGGAGTAGTGGGGGAACTCAAACTCAGAATGCAGAAACTACAGTGAAAGCTGTATCATGTTAGAATTTTACCTTCATCAGGAACAAAGTATTAGTGAGCGCTTAATACTGTTTTCAGATGTACTCAGTAACAATACTCTTAATAAATGCAAAGGCCCTTGGCACCTTATAATAAGATGCTGTCATCTAGAATTACATATAATCTTGCAATGAATAACTAACCTGTTGATCCCAGCTGCGTTAACCAAGTAGTGAATAGGACCTAAATTCCTCTGCATCTCCTCAAAAGTATTTTGGACTTCTTGTTCGTTGGATACATCACAGCTAAGCGCCAGATGTCCTGCTGTATTGAAATAAAGGCACATCATAATAATAGTAAAAGATGGTATACCATTCATAAACCTTCTTCAGAATTTATCGTCAGTTGCTAAAACAGATGTCGAACTAGTTGTAACTTGAACCCATTTAATCTCCAGAAAATTAAATAAGGACTATTTTCAAGTATTGTACTGATCAGTTTTATATTTTGGCCTTTTGAAATCAGAAGTTCAGCATGAGCAGACTGGTCTCAGTTCTGGCTTGGTCAGGAGCCAAGGATGATTCAATTCATACCACCTCCCTGTTGTGACCTTGAACAATTCCTTTCATCCTACCTATTCTATCCACAAGATATGAGTTGTAGCATACTTAACTTTCCCAAAGAATACTGTGAAAAGAAAAATGTACTGATATAGCTTTTCTTTCAAATTTCTCAGCCTTTATTTTCATCTTCTCATTAGACAATGAGGTTTATTTTATGACTTAATACTTTTACAAGTTACCTAAACACTGGACAGTGAAGAAAGTATTGCAAAGAGCATACATACCACCAAGATTACGTGCAGTGGTTTGGGCTACTTCCAGATTTCTAGCAATAATCGCCAGGCGGCAGCCCTTCTGTGCCAGTAATTCTGCAACAGCTTTTCCTATTCCTCGGGATCCTCCAAAAATGGCACAAACCTTGCCCATCTTCAAAAATAATTCACAAATTGCAAATAAACTATGAATTTCAGGTCCAATATAGCAGAGAATAACCACTGTTCTTGTAAAAATCACAGCCCTTACTAGTCTGTAGCATTTTGTAATATCAGATTATAGAATTAGTGATTTGTTAATTTTTTATTCACCAAAAAATAAATACGAACTAAATTAGACACCACTTCTACAAATGCAAGTTAATTCTTAATGATTTCTGAACTAGTAAAAAAATTATGCATGTAATGTAGCATTTCAATACTAGTGTTATGATAACTCCTATTCAGTTGATGAAATACGCAATTTAGGTATCTAAAGGTCATAATGTATCGTTCAGCTGTTCATTCAAAGCCAATGTAATAGTTGTAATTATATTGTTCTTGCAAGCACTGTTCTTGTACTAAAGTCATTTAGCCTCAAGGTCTCACTCCATCATAAGTATCTGCGTTGGACATCCACATTGCAAACACTACTGAGCATCATTTGATACTACTGTATTTACACTAGTTTAATACTAAGTTACACTACATAATACTATGTTTTACCATCAGCCTTAGGTTTTTTTGTTTCTGCTTTTGAAGAAAAAAAGCTTTTTGAAATGTGAAACGATTATGAAGTAGCTAGCTTAGAAGTTTAGGAAGGAGTGTAAGAAAGTACTTTTGTAGAATGCTCTTTTATTCTGCAACCTCTAGAAACCTACCAGCTGTTTTCAGATTTCCTGAGGGGCCAGAGGCAGAATCCAAGCAATAGTGATGAACCTCTTTTCCATACATTTGAATAAATCCCTTTTGAACGCAATTATACTTTGTCTCCATAACATCCTGAGGCAACAAGTTTCATTATTTGTGGAAAAGAACTTCCTTTTGTTCTTGATTTGCTTTCTGATTAGAGAATACTATGCATTTCTCCCCATATCTTCCCCTTACTGTTTGTAACTTCAGAGGCTACTCTTCTGCATTTTACCCTCCCCCTACATCCTCTTTCAGGTCTATTTACTCTTACACACATGGAAGCCATTCTGTATCTCACTAAACACTGTCCAAGCTCTTAATCCTGCCACCCTACCTTTGCCTTACTTAAGTCTATTATACCCTTTTTGATGTGTGATAACCAGAAGAGCACGCAGTGGTAAGCATACAAGGACACGATCAACTCATACAATGGCATAATGATTTTGGTCTTCTGTGACAGGGCCTGGAAGAGCAGATGGTCCTTTTCTGTAGCAAAGTAAGCACAAGTGCTTGAAATCAACCCATGTGTCTGCTTCCACTGGCAAGTTTAAATCAGCTTCCTAGTAGCAGGAAGAGGATTAAATACTTGCATCTCAGGCGGCGGCCCTTTCAAAAGAACACACACAAAAAGATGTCCTGCATGAAGACACTTCCTTAGTGATAAAAACAGGCACCGCTGCCTCACCAGAAAGACTAATCTTTTGGGTAGTCTTCTTTAGGCAGCTAGACTGCAAGAGATTAATCAAGAGGTCTTGCACCCCAGTAACTACAGCTCTTACCGTCTTAGCAGACTAAAGGCACAACGCATATTTTGTTGACAGATTTTTTTGTTAGAAACAAAGTCTGCCTGGCTTCTCCATCGTGACTGATCTCTTCTTTTACAGGATTACCACAATTACTCTTGGAAGTTCTTGCCTACTTGTTGCAGCAATGTTGTACTAGGATTTCCTCCTTCATATTTTGTTCTTACCAGCACTGAGCATACCTATTATGTTATATCTATTTGAAACATGGAATAATATCGATTAGGAGGGATCTCTGGAAGTCATCTTGTCTAACTCCTCCATTCCTAAGCAATGTCAAGTGAACCATTTTACGCTGTTCATAAATGCTGTCAGACCTGTATGTATTTTCCAAATAATTCTGAACATGCTTAGCTACACAGGACCCAAAAAGCTGCCTGTAGGGTGAGAACTTCTTTAAAACGTATCATTCTACCCTTCCTGGTCTCTTTGAGAAGGGAAAAAATCCTAGTGATTCTACTGTTCTCAGAAAGAATAGTGAAAGTCCCTTGTGCACTAACCAGGTATTTACAGGGGGAGCATAAGGCCTACTTCCATTGCAGCAATATGCAATTTGTGTTTTTGCACAAAAAAGCCACACAGGTTCTTTGGAGTTGTGACTTGGGAGAAAGAATCTGCAGTAGGAGTAATAACCCCATATTCCCTGGTCAAATAAAGGTAGGGAAAAACAAGTATCTTTTGAGCAACAGGCTCTTCTAGGTCGCCACACAGCACACACAAGCGCCTGCACCACCTTTGTCCTCTACGGCCCTTCTCTTTTTTCAGAACAAACTACTTGATCCGTGACCACCTGGGCTCCAACGGCACTGCTGCCGACCACCTCATGGCGCACAGCTCTAAACCCGCTGGAGGACACCCTTCAACAAATGCGAGTTCAACGAAAGATACCGCAGCCAGCCGGGCCGGGCCGGGCCGGGCC